ATCTGCCGCCGGATTTGCGGCATCTCCCACTTCAAATGAAATCTGCTCGGCGTTGGAGATACAAAAGTGGTGTTTCCCTTCCTCAGCCCCCGAGTTCACCTTGAGTCCCTGAGCTGATGAATCCCCCTCCACCAGAACGTAGCCATTTCAATGGGAAGCAAAAATAAACCCTTGTTTCTCCTCCCAAACCCGTGCTGGCTCCACACAGCTAAGAGATACAGACTCATAGAATGCTTCAGGTTGGAAGGGACCTTAAAGCCCATCCAGCTCCAACCCCTGCCACGGGCAGGGACACCTTCCATTAGAGCAGCTTGCTCCAAGCCCCTGTGTCCAGCCTGGCCTTGATAAAACATTATATTCTTCACTAAAACAGGCAAGCAAAAACATACCAAGTGGATACAGTCCATACACAACACCTGCATTTTAATATAGCAATTTAAAGACATTTTATCGATTATTTTTAGTAAAGTGGGGGTTGTTTTGTTATATTTTTTTACCTTTCCTAATGTATTTTACGCATCAAAGCAGCGTTCGGGTCAGAGAGGCTCGGGGTAGAAGCACTACAGCAGATAAAAACGTCAGTGGCGAGATACGACAAATTTATAGTAAATACCTGTCAACTGCTATTTATCTAAATTATCCAGCCCTGGGATTCTCCAGAAATCCTTCATCAGCTCGGAGGCAGCCGCAGTTTTGAGCCTGTATTTACACCAGAATCTGTTCTCTTGTTCTCTTCTTTTTTTGGACACTTGTTCTTTACCCTAAAATGACCCCTTTGTAGCTCGGATCAAAGAGCTGGGAGTGTCAATACCAGTGTCTTCACGAACATGTTAAGAACCTCAAAGTAATTGGTAAGCAATTAGCATAAAGCTAAAGAAACCCACCTAGCAAAGGCAAACCCTAGCAGGCAACAGCACTGGCTGGAGCAGGAGCTTAAAGTGACTTAAATCACCATCAGCTGCCTTTGAGACAACTTCTTGGGAGCACCCTGTGTGCAAACCACTGCTTTTTTTTGGCCCATTTATTTACTTTAAATTCCTTTCTCCTCTTGGTTCACTCTTTGCTTTCTGCTTTGCTACGGCTTACGGGAAACATGAAACAAAAAAACGGCTTTTCATTTTGTGTTATGTAAAGCAAAGCAATTCCATGTCTTGGCCTTGAAATACAAGGCACCCAACAGCTGTTCAGATGCTCCAGCAGATAAACCAGCTGGCCCAAACCTCACCTTTCCTAATTTATTTTGGAGATCGATCAAAGCAGCTCAAGCATTACACAGACTTGGGTCAAAGACAACATAAAAGATAAAAACGTCAATGGCAGAATCACTTCACTGAAATATTCCTGTTTCTTCTTTATATAATAATAACATTACCATCTTCAACAAACTGCTCTATTAAAGAAAAGATAATACCTGATACCAACAGCCTAACCACGCTGCAGGTGAATGTCCTTAAATAGCACACTGCTGATGAGCAGAAACTGAGCTGGGTCTAGTCTACGATCAGCTAAAACTAGACAGACTTTGGCCAACTGACCAAGGATACAGGCCCCAAGACTCATGTGTCCCGGCTCCCCCTGCCTTAACTCTTCTGTATGATGCTCCTGTCACCTGAAGAACCACCACAATCCATGATTCCAGCTAGTCTGATTTATGATTTTCCTAGGAAACGGACAGCACACGAGTGTCTAATATTACAGGGATTCCATCAAGACACTAAGGTTGTGCAGTGGTTACCAATCAGCACCCACTAGAAACCCAGCCTGTCATCTGAAAGCCTTTGTCCACACAATTCAGAGTGTACCTGGTGCACACAGGCAGGGTAAAGGCATCACTTGGGGAAAAAAACCCAGTCATGAGAGCAAAGAGCAAGAGCGCACGGCAGGGTTCGGTGCGCCTACAACTGCAAGCACAACACACAAACACACTCTTGTGCTGTTCTGTTTGCGATCTGCACACACTCAAAGCCTCCCCTACGCCCATTTCTTCCTCAAGGCTCCGTCGCCCGGCCCGTTTCTCACAAGAAAAGGACCCGCGGATGAATAGTCCCATAAAGCATCCCACCAGAGCCTGTCCTCCCCGGAGCCGCCACCGCGCCAAGGTCCAACGCTCAATTAACCCCCGCTCGACCTTCCTTCACTTTCTTTCCCCCTCCTCTGCCCTTCCTGAGAAAGTTCAGCGTTTCCTGGAAAAGCCTCCTTGCCTGCTTGATATTGTACTTCGCCTTGGTTGCCGAAGGAAGGATTTACAGGTGCCTGGCCCCCTCTCTAAGACCATGACCGCAGCCTGACCTCCCGTTACAATATGTGAACTCCTGCCCTGCTGATAAGGCTGGCAGATAGGAGTAGGATTTTTCAAATAATCCTTTGGGAATTTCTAAGCAGCGCGGCCATAAAACCGAGGTGACTGGAAGGTCGATTTCACTCCCAATAATAAATATCTCAATGTTTATTCAACGTGGGCCTTTTTAACTGCAGGCCAAGCGTTCAGATAACGCTATTGTCAATGACAAATATTAGGAGTTTTGGGGAACTATTACATTATGATCCTTCCGTCTGACACTGATGTGGCCGTTTCCTTCGACGCTCGCTGGATCTCTTGACATTGTTCAACTCAAGTTGGGCCTAGAAAGCCAGAGCAGGATTCAATCACAGGTCAGCAAAAGGGCAGTTTTCTTTTCAGGAGCCTTTACAACGGATAGTTACCTTTCTCTCTTGCTCTTTTCTCACCAAAACACCTTCTTTAGAGCTCTGCTGTCTGTTTTAACTCATTACAAGGGCTTTGGGCTGAAATAGAGGAGTAAGGGGACAAGGACTGAATGATCTCAGCTCAGGATGGGGACAGAGGATGCTAACCCACCGGCATGAAACCCCTGCGCGAGGTTTAGCCTGAGCATCACCAAGCCCACTGCACTATTCCCACCTCTAGCAGAAGACAATCCCAACCGAGATCCATCACAGAACACTGGCCATTAAATCTGTCTAGTAGCAGTAGCATTTCCCTAATACCAAGTGCTACTTGAGATTAAAAAGTAAAGCAACCAGACAACAACAAGGTCCCAGTGAAGAAATGAGACCATTTCAAACAGGCAGAACTGTGATACCCACCAGCAAAAGCCCTTCATTCTTTTTGCAACAGCTTTATGCATGAATACACAATTAAACAAACACCAGTGCATTAAACAAATGCACATAAGCCACACAAACAGGATTCCTAATCCTGTTTTCGTTATCCATCTTCTTCACTGAAGTTCCTCCAAATAAAGTGACACTTGGAAATCCAGAATGCATTTCAGACCAGTTGTAATCTTCAATTAGCAACTCCCTGAACCGGGCTCCCAGTGCTGGGCCTGAGGAGGAGGTTTTTATCCAACATAAACACAGTAACACATTTTGGGTAGGTTAACTTTGTCATGCCAATAAAATATCATGGCAGGGTAGCCAAATTGCCTAATTATTAACAGATGAGGGCACAAAAAAGAAAGATTTTACATAAATGCTTTTCATGACAATTCTTTTCCTTTTGCAAGCTCATTTGTGTGTATTGCTAGAAACTGGCTTTAGAAGTGCATTGAAAACAATTCCCTCTCAAGCCTGGCTCCGCCGTGGAAAGGGAGGAAAGCTGTGAACAGAGTGCTCCTTTCATCTGCTGCCTGCGCTTCAGATTGCTCAACCGCAGGAGAAGAGCCCCCCGAAAGCTACTTCCCTCCAAAGGATGTTAAAGAACGGGTGCAAACATCATAGGTTCACTGGGTCTGCAGATGCAAGGCTCATATGATGTCTGGAGGCATCCCAGAAATTAGAAGTTGAAGGGTAGGACACAAGGGGTATCTTAACTGCCCTTGTTATACATAAGAAAAGCAATGCCTTATGTACTCATAACCTAGGAGAAACATACCTCATGGAGCAGCCTAATGGGAGCTCACCTGAAAAGCTCTCAAGACCATGACACTGCTCAAAGTAACACTGTTTAGCCAATAACCAACCACCACCACAGAACAGCTTCACTTTTAGCCATGTTCTTCAGTGCGCACAAAGCCTGTTAGGGAAACTGGGAGTGATGCAGAAAATGGTGGGTTTGGTGGGACAGCAGCAAAACTGCTCCTGACACTGTTTGAAGAGAGAGAAGTTCTCCTGAGCACAGCAAATAAAACATTAACACCAATCAGCCCCCTGCAACTCCTCCATTTGCACTGAAGCTACTGTGCCTGAAGAAGAGTTCTTGGAGTAAAACTGTATGACTAAGAAATACGTATTCCCTGAATTAAGAAGGACATGAAGCTGTTGGAGCAAGGCCATGGAGATGCTGCGAGGGCTGGAGCAGCTCTGCTCTGGAGCCAGGCTGAGAGAGCTGGGCTGGGGCAGCCTGGACAAGAGAAGGCTCCTCAAGGGGAGACCCGAGAGCAGCTCCAGTGCCTGAAGGGGCTGCAGGAAAGCTGGAGAGGGGCTTGGGACAAGGGATGTAGGGCCAGGCCAAGGGGAATGGCTTGAACCTGCCCGAGGGGAGACTGAGATGAGCTCTGAGGCAGAAGCTCTTCCCTGGGAGGGTGCTGAGGCGCTGGCACAGGGTGCCCAGATAAGCTGTGGCTGCCCCATCCCTGGCAGTGTTCAAGGCCAGGTTGGACACAGGGGCTTGGAGCAAGCTGCTCTAGTGGAAGGGGTCCCTGCCCGTGGCAGGGGTTGGAGCTGGAGGAGCTTTAAGGTCCCTTCCTCTGTGAGTATTACACAGTGAATATTACAACCCAGGGTCTTCAACAGTTGGAGAAAATATCCCTTCATTTCTCTGTGGCCTGCATGAAGGAACTGTGTGGGTTTTACCCAAATCCATCCATCACTGGCCTCTTTCCTACTTCAGCTAATGCACCTCCTAACTAGGTGAAACACTGATAAATGCTTTGTAACCACCTCCTTGCAGCAGCATTGATGAAATAGGCAGCACCCCAACATTATCCTTAAACCACAGCCCAGTGTCAGCCCCAGTGTCACGGGCAGCAGTTACTTACCAGGACAGAGTATATGTGCAGACATCGGTACACCGGGGAGAAGTCCACCAGGTCCTGGGCTCCAGGTACCTAAAAGAGAGCAGGAGATCAGTGTGAAACATGCAGAACGCATCTAGAGAAGTTCTAATGCAGAACTCTAACATATCACCTACAGATAAGTGCAACTTCAATGCAGGTTCAGAGGGACATAAAGATTTCAGGTATGTAACAAGCAGATTGACTATTTATATCTATCTGTTTTTGAATATATTTAATTTTCTTGAAGATTCTCAAAGTAGGAAAATCCCAGATAATATTGTGTTTAGCCCTCTGTTAGCCAGCTCAGCAGAGATTTAACTTTGACCATAGGTTTAAATACAAATGCCAGCATCCTGGCACAAACTGTCCTGGTACTTCTGAACCAAAGGGGAAAAACAGAAAAAGCCAAGCTCTTATTCTTCAGATTTCTACTTTGATATCTTTGAAAGCCCCATTTCTATTTCTTATTTTGTTCTTAAAAAACTCAGGCGCCACACAGACTCCACCACCTTTCAACAACACAGGGAGCCTCGCACAGGGAGAAGGAAGTGCATTTCTGAAGGGTGGGATGGAGGGAGGGAGGAAGAGAGGAAAGATCAGAGAAGAAATTTGCATACAAGAAGCTTGTGTCCTTTGGATATATTCAAGCCAACACAGTATTAAGCTTGTTGGCCAAGGCATAAAGCTAAGGCAACTATCCTTCTCCCCCAAAATCCAAAGTGGAGGGGAGTGTTCTGTTGACATGTGGTGGAAAAAAGGGGAGAAAGATGAAAGGGACCAATGGACAGGCCGAGGAAACATGTTTATTTTATACATTTTTAATTATGCTTAAGAGGCATTTCTTCTAAAAAGGAGGTAGGATGAAGGAGAGAGAAGTTTCTAGTTTGATGCAATCCTAAACTAACACTGCCCAAAGCGCCTGGGGCGAGTGGTCCTCATCTAAAACAACGGCTTCAAGCAGGGGAGTACAGAAGTTATGGGCTGGAAAGGGAATACAGGGGATTTTGTTGAATAGCCTCTTGTATAATGCGGAACCAGAGTTGTTAAAGAACCTCCTCCATGCAAAGAAACCCAGTCCTCAGCACTACAGAGGTTCTTGGTTAGAGCTGAAATGATGAAGTAAGCCATGGAGACAGACAGAGCATCCCGTCCCACATCGCATCTTTTCAAGCCCCCCAACCTGGTGGTGCAGGGAAGGGAATCTATTCTAGGATGCTAGGAAGCAGCCAGCTCATTGGGAACAAGGCAGCAAAGAATGTTCTCTGGGCACAGCTCATCCATCTCACTGGATTTCCTTCCATCCCTCGCAACGAGCTCTCGATCACTGACACAGGGGGATGCCCATCTCTTGGAGCTCCATGAACTGAGAGCTCTGGTAGATGGCAAGGCCGGCTCACCAGGAAGGAGGAAGGTTTCCAAGAGAGGGACAGGGCTGGCATTGCCTGGTGCCCCTCTTCACACTGAACCTACTGTTCACCAACAGAAGGGTTACACAGCTGGATGTGGACCTGGGCAACCCAATCTAACTGAAGATGTCCCTGCTCATTGCAAAGGAGCTGGATAAGATGAGCTTTGAAAACTCCCTTCCAACCCAAACTATCCTATGAGGCTATGAACCAAAAGCAAGCATCTGGGAAACACAGCTCACCGCCCTCACTAACATTTCTTGCTTTACCTTCTACAAGACCGTATTTGACACTTGCAAACACTAGGCAGCAGTTTTATTGGGTTAATGCCAATTTTATCACGCCTTCCTGGCCATTTATTTTCCATTTGCAGTCTCTAAGGCCTTCTAACGCTCCCTAAATAGCTCCCAAATCCAGGTATCAGCTAGTTCATGATTCTGCCTTGCTGTATTCCTCTAGCATTAAGTACAATTTCTCTCCAGCTCAGGAATTCCTGATTGCAAAACTGCTGGAGATCACTAAAGCAGACGGGGAAGTATCAGTGCTCGCTCGACCCAGGCATCCTCCAGCAACCACCTTCAGCGTGGGGAAGCTGGACGGGATGGACCCGAATCCACCCTATGTTTTTCAAAGGGAGGAGAGATCTGTCATCCCTTCAGAGCATGATCAAAGCAGACGATGTTTTCCTATGAATTTGAATTCAGGATCAAACGGTTTTGCTCCTCTTGGATTTGGGGCACTGGCTGAACAGGGCCCATAGAGAAATATTTCTGATAAAGATTTGTGAAATCAGGATATTGCCAAGACCAGACTTTACTCCCCCAGAGAAATTCTTTCAAAGCAGACTGCAACATTTTCAGTCTCTGATCTTCTCCGAAAACTTTTAAGCCCACACACACACTCACAAAGAAACAGGCTGGACTATTCTGCAGTTAACGTCTCCGAGACATTAACAGCTTTAGAATTGCCAATCTCAGCAGAACACTATCAGACGTGGAGTGCTGGGCCATAAGAAAGCTTTTGCAAACAGAAAGACATGCACCCAAAACCTGTGCTAGGATTTTATGCAGGGCATAAACCTATAATATATTCTAAGGAAAAGAACCGACCATCTATTCCAAATAAAGCCACAGCCCTACAAAAGGACTAATCATAGATTCATAGAATGTTTTGGGTTGGAAAAGACCTTAAAGCTCCTCCAGCTCCAACCCCTGCCACGGGCAGGGACCCTTTCCACTTGCTCCAAGCCCCTGTGTCCAACCTGGCCTTGAGCACTGCCAGGGATGGGGCAGCCACAGCTTCTCTGGGCACCCTGTGCCAGCGCCTCAGCACCCTCCCAGGGAAGAGCTTCTGCCTAAGAGCTCATCTCAGTCTCCCCTCGGGCAGGTTCAAGCCATTCCCCTTGGCCTGGCCCTACAGGCCCTTGTCCCAAGCCCCTCTCCAGCTTTCCTGCAGCCCCTTTAGGCACTGGAGCTGCTCTGAGGTCTCCCTGGAGCCTCCTCTTCTCCAGGCTGAACAAGCCAAACCTGGCCTAGTGGAAGTTGCCCCAGCCCCTGGCAGCAGGCTGGAACTGGATGAGCTTTAAGGTCTCTTCCAACCCAAACTATTCTATGATTCAGCAAATCCCATCTTGGATACTTCTCATGCTGAACAGAGGTACAGAACAAACTGTGCTGTCAATCTCCTATGTCTTGTGTGATCATCCTTCGACTGCCCCAGCATGCCCAATGGCTTAACCTAAGGGGTAATAAAATGGATGTATTTGTATGGTGATGAAGATGCTCACAAGACTAACACTGGGAGTGGCCACATGGTCCTGTAGACTCACTGATCTCACTCTGGCTCCCGTTACAGACAACAGGCAGACAGCTTTGTCTGGAAATGGAGAGGTTTTTCTCCGGGTCCAAGATGCTTCTTGTGTAATAGTGGTGGGAAGCAAGCAAAAAGGTGGAGGTTGACAGCATCTAACAGAGTCACTTACCAGGGAAAGCCAGAAGAGCACTCTGGGGTGCCTGCTCCAGCTCCCAAACCTTTGTAAGAAATCTGTTACACTCACTTGGAGAAGCACAACTTATTCCTACAGCCAGAAGCATGATGAATTATGGCTACACCTCACACCTGCTGAAGTCCTTCCTGAGTGCCAAACTCCTTCTCCAGATAGAAAACCATCTGGAAGTCCTTGATTTGTTCTTCAAAGACAATTCAACAGCCATTACTCCAAAGTGCAATGTCCTTCCTGAGAACTTTCCCACTCTCACAGTGGAGCACCAGGGAGTCCAATTCAGCCCAACCACTTCACAGCCACCTGAGCAGCCTTTTTTGGGGACAAGAAGAAATGAGGCACGACGCAGGCAAATTTGTCCTGCTGTATTCCACCAGATCCAAGAGAAAAGTCACTGAAAATGAGAAGAAGCTGCATGAGCTTTGTAGTTTGCTGGATGCTTTTTACTACAAAGGGAACAGCTGGCACAAATTGAGCAGACTGTGGAGCTACTCACTGTGAAATGCAAATTCTCCTTCTGCAGCTTGACATTCATGAAAACTGAATTTGAGCCTTTTCCCAGCCCAGTTACAGCTGTGCCCACTCCCTCACTCTGATTACAATGGGAGCTTCCACCTCAGTGAGGCATCTACACTTAAGTCTGGACCATAATGTCTCCAAACTGGAGAATGCTAATGGAGCGGAGAACCACATCCCATATTTGTACCCTTGAATGCAGCTGGCAGAGCTCTCTCTCGTGCTACTCCAAGGGAATGAGCTACATGCAACAGGATGAGCAAAGAACAGTATGTTCTTTCTTCCCTTTCAAAGCTTATCCCATTAATTTTGCTGCAGTGAGGAAGGGATTGCTCCATGTGGTGAGAAAGCATAGGATTTCCAGAACAGTTCATCCAGCATAGGTAGAGGACAACACAGCCTGCTGAAGGGCCCCAGATATTTCCTAGAGGAAAAAATATGTATTACTCTGTTTTTTTCCAGCCTGTGCACCAGGATCAGCAGCTCTCCTACCTAAACTTAATGAGAAATACCTAGGAACATCCCGTTTTCAATTCCGAGCAGGATTTGGTGCAAGGTACCTTTCCTTCTTCCATTTCCATATTCAACGAGTCTTCATTGGTTGTCTTCCAAACAGAAACCTGCAGTTTCTGGTTGGCTTTATCGGCTGTGACCGGTCAAGAGCAAAAGCTACCACTACAATCTCAAGATGCTTCACGATCATCTCTTTACTTGTCTACAGACTTCGTTCTACAGTGGGACACCTCTTCCTTCTATTTAGATTAGATCTTAGGCAGAAGTTCTTATGAGAAGTTCACCACCCTGCGAGGGTGCTGAGGCGCTGGCACAGGGTGCCCAGAGAAGCTGTGGCTGCCCCATCCCTGGCAGTGTTCAAGGCCAGGTTGGACACGGGCTTGGAGCAAGCTGCTCCAGTGGAAGGAACCGCACACAGTACTGCAAGCAGGGTCTCGAGAGCAGAGGGGTAGAATCACCTATTTTGATCTGCTGGTCACACTTCTCTTGGTGCAGCCCAGGCTTTCTAGGAACCCAAACCCTGTCCTTCCCTGCCTAAGCCAATAGGGGAAGAAGAAGCAGAGGAACTGGCAATGAGGCTCCACACAGACAGGCCAGGCAGCTGGGGGCTCCTGCGGTGCTGCCCCCTCTGAGCTCGGTTTCATCACCACGGACAGCAGCCACCACCCCGGCCCCATCAGTCCCTCCAGCCCCACCACAGCCTCTGCGACAACCCGATCCCTACGGGAAGTCCATCCATTTACTACCAGCCTGGCTTTAAACACAGCACAAGGTGGGATTTCACCTGCATGGAGATGAGTTACACCACTGCGATGAACACAACTCCCAACTGTTCTATTCTAAATGTCTTCAAGTTCTTCCGTCCTTAATATCTCCTTCAACTTTTCCTCACACCTTTCACTTCTAATTGAAACTCCATTCTAATTCCTAATTCTACTCAAAATTTTGCCTACCCAACAAGTGTGGTTTCATTTCACACCACCACACAGTTTTGCCAGAATCCACTCCACAGCAAGGGAGAGATTCTGGAAGCAAGAAAGAACAAGAACTACTTAAGAATCATAGAATCATAGAATTGTTAGGGTTGGAAAGGACCTTAAGATCATCTAGTTCCAATCCCCCAAGAACCATATTTTTAGTTTTTAACAGGAAAATATCAAAATTAATCTATTCAAATCAATGTCTTTTTACAAAAAAAGTGCTCTTTCCATTCATTTTTCTTTATAACTTGTCTCTAATTCCATTCTGCTGCAGGAATAAACAGCCCACACAGATGCTTCAGTGGAGTGCATGGGCTTTGGGGTTGCACCCTGCAGCTTGGTCCTGGTGAAGGAATCAGTGATCCCCTCATGCTGCTGTAGAAGCAAAAGAGAGATGAAGAGGAGAGAAGTGAATGGCAGGGGAGAAGGCAGGACATGAGCACAGAGCCACCTGAGCAACCTGCACTATTTTAAATGTCAGAAACTTGGTTTTTATCTACTTGCCTGGCTGGTTATGGGCTGGCAAGTTCAAGGCAACAAATATCACCTAACTCAGTTACCAGGGTAGCTAAAAATACCAGTCTCTTGACATGTGAGGCAAGTCCAGAGGAGGCCATGGAGATGCTGTGAGGGCTGGAGCAGCTCTGCTCTGGAGCCAGGCTGAGAGAGCTGGGCTGGGGCAGCCTGGACAAGAGAAGGCTCCTCAAGGGGAGACCTGAGAGCAGCTCCAGTGCCTAAAGGGGCTGCAGGAAAGCTGGAGAGGGGCTTGGGACAAGGGATGTAGGGACAGGCCAAGGGGAATGGCTTGAACCTGCCCCAGGGGAGACTGAGATGAGCTCTTAGGCAGAAGCTCTTCCCTGGGAGGGTGCTGAGGCGCTGGCACAGGGTGCCCAGAGAAGCTGTGGCTGCCCCATCCCTGGCAGTGTTCAAGGCCAGGTTGGACACAGGGGCTTGGAGCAAGCTGCTCCAGTGGAAGGGGTCCCTGCCCGTGGCAGGGGTTGGAGCTGGAGGAGCTTTAAGGTCCCTTGCAACACAAACCAGGCTGGGATTCTGTGAATTTATCTTTTCCTAAATGAAGGATGGATACTAAACTGCTGCCCAAGTAAGCAACCCCTGTGCTGGGGGACAGAAGACATGGGCTGTTCAGTTCTTATCCAACACTCAACCCCTCTGCTGAGCTTGCTAACAAGAACAGGGACAATGGGGTAAAATAATCCAATACTGGATCACACCCCACGTCCTACAGGCTGTTCTGCATCTTTATGACATGCTTAATAGCAACAGGAAAGACGAGATGCAAACACTGTTTGAGACGCTACCGTTCACCCCCAAACTGCCCAGTCTCCTGGATTTGATGTTATACAGTTACCTCTTCATCCTCATCCTCATCTTCAACATCCAGGATACCCGAATCTTGCTCAGACATGGGGCTAGTGTTTTTTACCTCCAGTTCTGAGCTTGCGCAGGCTTCTTTCTTGGACTTCTTCCCCCCACTTATCCTCGGATGCTGTGATACAATATTGTCCAGGTTTCGTTGCTGCTGTGCCTAGAAAAAAGAAGCAGATTTCACCTTTTATAGTGGCATCCCCTTATTTTATACTGGTTTTCAGCCTGAAGATGCAATCAGTCACGAAATAGAACAAATGAGACAAAATAAACCACACACTAAATGCAACTTCGAAACGGTATGTTTTCCCTAACCCAGATACTCCAAAGCAGCAGAAGATTCCTTTCAAAACCATTCCAGGGATTATGCAACAATACAAACAATATTCTGACTCTTCACAAATCAAAATGCCAAACCCATCATACTGCCATATTGATCTATTTACAGCACAGATGCAGAAATATTAGCCCATAGGCCATGTGGTGACTGTCACAGGCTAAATTAAAGGACGTACTTAACCGTTGGATTTGTTCCTCTTTTCAACCCATGTCAGCACAAAACATTCCACATCTGGACCCCAGAGGTTCCTGAAAGCATTTTTGTGGTACCCCAGGAGAGTTTAATTGGACGTTGCTGATGTACAGAATGAGCTGTAAAAGGTATGGAACAAAAATTCACTCGCCAGGAGCAGCGGCGGGATTCAGGGAGGGAAACCCATGGAACCACTGGAGCTCCCTCCAGTCACTCTTGATATCTGCTCCTGGGGCTTGGAAGTTCATTTGCAGCAGAGGTCAACGCATGTGCTCAGCTGCAGAAACTCGCCTGGCTTTATCACTGTTACGGACCCTAATACTTGATAGAAAAAGTGGTTTCACCCCAATTGTTCATGAGAGTTGACCAAGATAACTTCCAACTGATGGGGAAGGGCAAGGAGGGAGGACGGCACAGAGAGCCATGCAGCCACAAGTGCCTGATGGTGGCCAAAACAAGGGGAAAAAGGCCAAGCCAAAGGCTGTGCTGGGTCTGCACATGTGGGCTCATGCTCTGGTGTAACTAGAAACTAAACACGCTGTGAACCTGAATTTATATGGATGTATACACGCAGGTTTATAGGATTCCTCACGTATTTTTCTATATATTTTTTATATATAAGAAGAAAGGTGCCTGGAACTCATCCAGATGTCTTTCTGAAAGTGTTATTTTACAGGGTAGGGTTCTTCTAAAAAAGGAATGTGTTTTATATATATCCATATATATATATTAGTTATTAACATAAACTCTATTTCTACAGCCCAAGTCAAACCTGCACCAGGTATTTTATTCCACCCCTGTAACAGGAGACAAACAAGGTGGCAAAAAGGACCATCCCCTGCCCCTCGCTAACGTGACAGCCTGGCTTTAGAAGGAAGAAGGAACACTGGAAATGCACTGTAGGTACGGTTGTCAGTGAAACCAACCCTGCCAGGAAAACAATGGAGAATTAAAATGAGCAGAACCTACTAAAAATAAATCATCTTAATGATTACTTTTGCTACCTGAACTGCAGAAATCAGAAAGCTCTGTATCTGGAGTGCAAACCTTCAAAACTAAGTCCTTTTCAACACTTAAAAGCACGAATATCACACAAAAACAAGTTATGAGCAAGTTTTATTTTGACAGGGGTCTTTCAGCTCAACTCCCTTTTGAATCCCTCCTTGGGAAGAAAGACCCCATCAGAGACAGATCACTTGTGTAGTTTCTAGAGCTGAAGAACATTAAAAGCCAAGCACAGCACAGATATCCCAACCAGGTAAAATCCTACCTTTGCGTAAGGCAAAGTGCTCTTTACACCATAAACACTCAACCAGCCTCATCTTAGTTAATGAACATAGCAATTAATAATAAAATTACACATATATTAGCTCAGATTGGACATGGATGCACCAGAACTGGAGCTAAACCTTACATGGGGCAGCCCTGCGCGGTGCCATAGCACAATCTTGACCTCTAGTGGTTGGAAAGCAGTAGTATCCTTGATGCTCACCACAAGCGTTCCTACACGGGAAGGAATGGCAGAAGAAGGGGACTACCAAGCAAGCTTATTTACAAGATCTCTTAAGAGATGAGTCTCAACAAGAGGGATTTCTGCAACAAAGCCCCAGGAAAAGGGCTGTGTGAGCACTGCTGAGGATAAGGTCCGCTAACAATGTCAATACTTGAAGAAATGGGGGGGGGGGGGGAGTGGGATGTTTTTGCATTAGGAATCTCAAACTTCAGAAGCACAACTCTATAGAAAGACATTGCGACATCATAGAAAGAGAATTAGGACTTCAAAAAGGGGGGTGAGCCTTTGGTCCTTCTGAAGCACACACAACAAAGAGGTTCGAGGCTCGATTCCACTCTCAGATACACCCATTTATGACATAAGTTACTCAACTGAAGCGTAATGAAGTTGTAACACTGAAAATTACACCAAAAGCAAGCCCAGTGTCCTCAATAAAACCTCTCAGATTTATGTAATCTTTTTTCTTCCAGAAAGGGAAGAAATCAAAGAATGGGAAAATGCAAACTTTTGGATCAAACATTGTGCTTGAAACAGAACATTAAACAGGGTGTAGCAAGACCATAGCGAGAAGAGTGGTCATGGGAGAGGGAAAAACTGGCCTGACAAGCTGAAGGATGCTGCCGCCAGCTCTGAACTTCACTGCCGAAGCCTGAAGCATGTGATATTCAGCATTTTAGGCTGAACACAGAACTGGTCTCCCCAGAGGAGCTGGTGGACATGTTCTGAGAAGGCACATCACATCGGTCCCCCATCCCTTTACAAACAAGAGGTATTAATGTCTTCCTTCAGCTCCAGCTGTGCTCACAACAGAAGCACAGTCGTAGGTGATATGTACTGAGCAGATGTCAAGATTGATAAAATCCCAATCAAATATTGATAAGACCTGATAAATACTGCTACTGAGAAAACCCAAAAGTCAAGAAAATCTGTCCTTCTAGAAAAAGCCATCGCTCTAGGCCAAGGAGCTCAACACCCAAATTCCAACACTACATCTTCATAGAGTCACAGCCTGGTTTGTGTTGGAAGGGACCTTAAAGCTCCTCCAGCTCCAACCCCTGCCATGGGCAGGGACCCCTTCCACTGGAGCAGCTTGCTCCAAGCCCCTGTGTCCAACCTGGCCTTGAACACTGCCAGGGATGGGGCAGCCACAGCTTCTCTGGGCACCCTGTGCCAGCGCCTCAGCACCCTCCCAGGGAAGAGCTTCTGCCTAAGAGCTCACCTCAATCTCCCTTCTAGTTTATAGCCAATTTTCATACTTTTAATGCAAATACACTACAGTTTATCAAGGGAAGAATTCTGACCTGAACTAAAAATCTGAGACCCTACTGGGAAAAAGAAAAAAGGGAAAAAAGTATGTCCACAAATTCCCAATGATTCCCAAAATATTTCCCAAAGACCCACCAGCAGCAGCCACAGAGATGCTCCCAATGGCACTAATGCTTTCCAGCCCACCAAGCGCGATTTTTACCTTAAGAATTTGGGAAGGGACAGGGGGAGCAGCTCTAACCTAGAAGGGCTTTTCCAGGGATTTCTACCTTCAAGACCAACAAACGGCCTCAGATTAAGCCAGTGGATGCTCATTCCCTTCCAGCAGGCTGGCGCACATCACAGCACGTAACCCCACCTCCTGCACGATGGGCACAGCCCATCGCTATCCATCGGGGAGCCCGAGGAGTCGGGAGCTGAGCCCATAACTTAGGTGTTACGCTGGAACGACACAACGTACACGCCAGAAGAAATAGTAATTGCTTTTCCATTTAGAGGAGGGCATTCCCCCTACCCCCTCTCTTGGCAGGAAACAATCTGGACTGAAGTGACCTATAAGTGAGAAATATCAAGTTTTCTTTAAATTCAGCAGGCTTGGGTGAAGTCACCGAGGTTTCAGTTTCACCTTGAGAGAAAGAGAGAGCTGGGGAGAGGCCCAAAGGAAGCAACTAAGGAGAAACTTGGGCTTAACCGCCAAGGAACTCCCCTCTCCTACCCCCACGTCGTTACCCTCACCTTCCCGAGCTGGGGGTGCAGCAGAACAGCTCTGCAATGGAGTTGACGTCGCCCATAAAGGATGAAAAATGACCTGCAGAGCAGGCACATTTGGATTTTAATGTTCTGTTTCACATCAAGGCATCTGTAGGGAGCCCAATGAAGAGGCACACTTTAGAAACCACATCAAAGCCCAGGCGACACTGCGGCGTGCCCTCTGAAAACGGAGGGACCTGGGGCTACAGGGGAGGCAAAAAGGCCTCGAGGGACAAAAATCAAGTCATAATAAAGAAAAATCCCCTTACCTTTTGGTGTGGTTTACATGAAAGCAAGTGCATTTTGGTCTTATTCTGTAAAATTGCCCCTATTATACAAGGCTATCAATCTCTTGGCTCTGGGCTTAATGCACCGATAAAAAAACAGAAGGTAAGAAAGCGAACGTCTGGTCGCAGCTAACATTACGTTCAGCAATAACACACAAAGCATTCGGTTCATGGAGCTGAAACTCCCTCCCAGCACAGCTACTTTCAGCATCCCCGTGAGCAGCAGAGCAGCCTGGCAGCCTCCTGGCTCTACAGGAACACCCCACCGTGCTCTGACACGGCAGCAATCCCAGCTGCCCCGACAGCAACGCTGTTTCCAGGCTGCTTGATCTTAGCAGCAACGGCAGCTTTCCATGTTCAAGTTCAGGTTCAGGTCAGTGACCTATGTTTGCTGCTTTAACTGGGCTGAGGTTGCCCATCAGGCAGCCTAGGAGACCATCTCCACTATGGAAAGCTCAGTGGGCTTTGTTATCCGAATGCGACGAGAAGAACTGATCCTTTTGGCTGTTGTTCCTTGAGAAACAGAGAATCAAAGGAACAAGGGGGGAAAAACACTTGTAGCTCCATTACAAGGTTTCTCTCCGCAGCCATCTGCTTCCTTTTCATTACGAGTACACTACTCAACCTTGCAGGACATGGCTTTGGGGATTTTCCCTTCAAGCCTGCCCTACAAGAGTCCTAAATACAAGTCCTCAATACGAAGACTCAAGGCACTCAGTGCCTAAAAGGGCTGCAGGAAAGCTGGAGAGGGGCTTGAGACAAGGGCCTGTAGGGACAGGCCAAGGGGAATGGCTTTAACCTGCCCCAGGGGA